TGTTAAAATATATTTTAAAAAATTTACAAAACTAAACAGCCTACAGTATTTTTACAGTGTTTATTTTACAGTTAAAATTAATGTTTATCAAATAAAGTTTAATGTTACAACTAATCGTGGATCCTTTTAAAAAGGAAGATGTCTCACTCTGATAGAGAGGGGGAAAAACTCACCAGAGCAGCGATCGCTGCAGAAACGGACCCTCCTCCGGGTGCCGCCGTCCGAGCGGCAACGCTGTGAACGAACTGCCGCAGAGACAGAGACACAAGCCCCTCCTCCTCCTGTGACCTCACCATGTACCTGCACAGGTAAGACGAACTGTGTGGTTTGGTTCTGGTGTGGATTTTTAGGCGAAAACTTCACATCCAGTGAAACTCACTCTATTATTCTCTCCTTTGGATTAAACGGGCCGAGAGAGTCTAGGCCAAGTTTACTGATAACCTGTCAACAAACAAACAAATAAACAAACAAATAAACAAAGAGACTCTGAGATACCAGTTAGGATCACACAGACTCACAAGTCGGACTTTATGCTCCTCTTCCATGATGAAGAGTTGGTCTCTGTTGATGTAGAACTCTGCAGAGTCCAGCAGAGCCTTCAGGGGGATCAGACCAACGATCTGCGAGCCGACCACCGGGAGCTTCAGCTCCTGAACACAACAACAAACAATCAGGGGACCTGCCAGGCAACATCACACCTAAAGACTTTAACCTCTGACCTCCGCAGCTCTGCAGATCTCCTCGTACACGCTGTGGAGTGGGGTCAGCTCAAAGTCCAGGATGTTGGTGGACACTTGAGCGAGGTTGGACTCCTCCAGGTACCAGCCCATCCCCTGTACCTTCTTTAGGAGCCCAGGCTGCTCAAATGGAGAAGAAACGAAACAATTATTAAACTTGTCTTACGAGTTCAATTCATAAAAACAATCTGAAACAAACAAAAGTTTAAAAGTATTTTTGAAAAACTCAGAATCAATGAAAGAGAACAGTGTAAATCATCAGCAGGACTCCCAGCATGCACCTGGTCCTTCCCTCGGCCCTGCTCGCGGATGTCCAGTGCGATGCGATGAGCCTGTTCTTTGGTGCTGATCAGATTCACATTGTAGGCGATGAGGAACTTTCGAGCACCGGTTACTGTGGCGCCCCACGATGGAACAAAGTGGGCGGGGCCAAAGTCAGGAGCCCACTCTGGACGTTTCAGCTTTAGGGAGACAAAATGTAAACAAAACCATCAACATTTGATGTTTGAAAAACAGAAAGTAAATTGTGAAGTTCTGACTCTACATGAAGAACCAAACTCACCTTGTCAGGTAAAGCTTCGTACTCTCCGACTCGCACTGATGGAAGGTTCCTCCTCGTTTCTGTTCGAGCTGCTTCTCCGTAAAGATAGACTGTGAGGATTTGTAGAATCATAGACATGAACAGATTTAGAGAATTTTAAGGATTCACTGTGGAGGATTTTCAGATTAATTATGGTTCATTATAAACAAACACCTGTTGATGCATAAATGTTTTTGTTCCACTATTTTAATTTATTTTCTTGTCTTTTTAAAAAAAAAAATCCCCCAAGAGGACACTGAAGGAAATTTTTTCCCTCCTTTGTGTTCCTAAGCAATACTTTTTGCATTTCCATGCAAAACTTTTGCATTACTTTGCAATATTGTATTGTTTTGTATTGACTGTACTAAACAAGACTTTTATTTTGAAACATTCCATTACTGAAAAAAATGATAGAGATATAGAGATATAGAGACATTTATGCCGATGCTGAGTTAAAGTGGTATGGTGTGCATATGAGACTACCACATATTAACCCTGTGGGAGCGGCAGCGCTCTAATTTGCCTGCCTATACACATAAATAGAAAGATATTCAATCTGTGCTTGTGTAAAAATGCTAAAAGTATTGCAAGATAACACAAAAGCGTTTTGTGGGAATGCAAATGATGAAAATTCCCCAATGTCCTTACAGGGGTTCTGCAGATTTCTCTACAGCTAAATGAAGAAATAGAATAAAAAAGGTGTGTAATGAAGTAAATGAGTAAGTAAATAAATAAATCTCTCTGACCAGGAACATGCAACACCTCTGCCAGTCTTCGTCCAAACTCGTTGGCACAGTGGACACAGTCGTCCATGCTGACGTTTTGGACGGGGATGAAGGGACAGACGTCCAGCGCTCCAGTCCGTGGGTGTTCCCCTAAAGAAGAACAAAATATTTAAGAGCTTTCACGTTGAAAGCGTTGAGTTCTCTCTGGGCCTCGGACTCACCTGAGTGTTTGCTCATGTCGATGAGGCTAAAGGCCTGTCGGGCAGCGCTCAAAGCCCCCTCCACCACCGCCTCAGGGGAACCCACGAATGTGTAGACTGTGCGGTTGGTGGAGGCTCCGGGGTCAACGTCCAGCAGGCTGCAGCCTGGGGTCTGAGAGACGGCTGCAGAGATGGCATCGATCACCTGAACAGATCACACAGGTTCTGTTTGAAGTCTAGTTCAGATCAGAGGAAGAAGCTTTAAAACGGAGTCAGTAGGAGGGTTACAACCTGCAGCTGAAACCAAACTCACTCTGATGATTAACCAGAATCTGATCAGGAATCCAACAGAACAGGTTTAAAGATTGTCCTGACTGACAGGAAAATGTTTTTACAGATTAAACTTTGTTTACTTGCAGACTTTAAAATCTGAGACCCTCAGCTTTTCAAAGTTTTAGGTGAGACAATAAAATGATTTTAGTTCTAGCTCTGAATGAAGTAGCTGTAAACTGAACAGACATGCTGCAGGACAAACAGATGAAAAATACACGGTGACCATGTTTGACCTAAAACTAAGCAGTAAAGCTCTTTTATCTGCTAACAGTTTGTTCTGAAGCTGCTGAGGTCCGATCGGACGTGAAACCAAAAGGTCTCAAACTGCAGCAGAGTTCAGTCTGAACTCAGAGCTGAAAAGTCTCACCTCTTTGTTTCTGCCCTCGGAGAAGTTGGGGACACACTCTACGAGGCGAGCCATGCTGTCTGCAGACTGAGGAGGACGAGCAGAGTTCATCTTCATCAGCTGCAGTTTAACCATTAATAACTGTGTGCAGGAGGTCAGCTGACAGTGTTTACCTTCTCTGCTCAGACATAGTTGTAACGTCCTGCAGGGGACACCACAGGAAATATGAGACTTTGGTAAATGGTACTGAACTTATAGAGCGCTTTTCAAGTCCCTCCGGACCCCAAAGCGCTTTACACTAACAGACATTCACCCATTCACACTCACATTCACACACTGATGATGGCAAACTACCCTGTAGCCATGGGGCACACTGACAGAAGCGAGTATTGGTATTGTCATTTTTTATATTGTTGGTATTGGTATTGTCATTTTTTATATTGTTGGTATTGGTATTGTCATTTTTTATATTGTTGGTATTGGTATTGTCATTTTTTATATTGTTGGTATTGGTATTGTCATTTTTT